GCGGAGGGGCTGCTACCTCCGGCGGCAGAGCCGCGTCAGCAGCTCGTGGTTGTGTGCCCGAGACGGGGGGATATTCCCCCCCCGAAAGTATAGCCTCCGCATCCTGCCCGCGCAGTCCCCGGCGGGGGACACACCCCCCCTTTTCCGGCTCCTCTCCGCCGGGGTCAGCTCCCCGCCCATCTACCGTCGCCTCTGGGCTGTGGGGCCCCTCGCCCTGCATCCCGCCAGGCTGGCTCGGCAGCATCCCCGGGAAAACGCTGCCCACCGCCTTGGCTCCCCCCAGTGATTTAACGCTCCGCTGCCCATAGCTGCTTGGATTTATTTCTGCCCCCCATTTTTTACAGGGAGGGAGGGGATTTGTTACAGTCTGGGCTGTGCCAAGTACCAGAAGGTCCTGGATGTGCTGCTGCCAGATAGGCTCAAAGCAAAATTGCCAAATCCCCTCTTGCCCCCGGCACAGCCTGGCAGCAGCCCCCTGAGATGTGCTTATGGGGTGAGACCCGGCCATCAGGACAACAGGGGCTGAACCACAGACCTGCACTGGTCCCGGAGGCAAGAGCATCTGTAGAGGGAAACTAAGCAGAGGTGGAGACCCTCAAGGATCAGGTCCCGGCACTGGTGCTCATCTGATGGTCATCTCCCAGGAGATGACGCATCTTCCGAGAGCATCTTCTCTCCCCCCCTTTCCTCCCCTTCTCCCAGCACTTACCCTGCCAGAAGCAAATGCAACCTGACAGGGCTTGGCTACTCCACTGAAATATTTATATGTTCCTGCCTGGAAGTGCGACAGCAGGATCCCAGATGTCTGGGGATCATGACACCCACCCACCCATGGCTGTGAGGGGTCCAGGCAGCTGCACCGCAGCCTGGGGTCTTCCTACCCAGAGGCCTCTCGTCCCATTGAGCCCCCCAGCACCTGCGCGAAGATGCTCACCACCAAACCACCACGGTGGGGCCTGGACCAGCATTTATTTCACTTGGGTTTTTCTCCTCCTTTTCTCAGCCAAACAGATAGAGCCAGGATGTGTTATTTAGGTGGGAGACATCCCAGGTCCTTTCTTTAAGGATGGCACATTTGCTCCCTGAAGCAGTTTCCTCCCTGGGGAGGAAACCAGGACAGCTTTGGTGCTGCAGAAGGATGCTGCTCATGTCCCCTCCCAGGCAAGCGCTCGTCCTGGGGAGGATGGCAAGACCACAGCAGACGTGTCCGCAGGTTCCCTGTGCCCACCATGTACCTCCCCCAGGCAGGGACACAGCCCTTGGTGGGACCTGTCTCTCCATCCCCTGATTGCCAGGATGGTGGCAGGGTTGGGTCCCTTCCTTCTGTGCAGCAGGTCCTGGGCGCAGGAGCACCCCAGGGTGTGGGTCCGGGGTGATGCTGTGCACCTGGGCAATGCCAGCACCCTGGGGGCACTGGTGGGCCTTAATGACCCTGAGCGGTGTCACCCTGAGCAGTGTCACCTGGGACACCCACCCACACACTCCAGTGTGTGTCTCTTGGCAAAGTCATGCTGCCGCTATCAGCCCCAGTCACTGGCTGGACTCCCCCCAGCCTGGGATAGCACCCAGGGGTGCAAGGGCCGGGCTGGCAGATGCATTTGTGCAAAGAGGGCAGGGTGCTGGCAGCACAGGGCACCCCAGCCTCCCATCAGATGGCTCGGGGGGGGGGGAGGGGGGGCAACCCCCCAGGCCCGAGGGCTGGCATCCCTCTGTTGCCCGGCTGCTGGGGCTTGGGGCTGGGGCTGGGACTTGTCTTCAGCACAAATGATGGGGCTGGGACAGGGG